GCGCCCTATTTCAAAATGATATTTTGACCCCGGGGCGTGTCTTGCTCGCGACTCCACGTGAACTACGTGTGGGCCAGTCCCTCACGTAACATCACGGCCTTTCTGTTCAATATGGCGTCTATTTAAAAGTTTGATCTTCATTAACACTTTAACCTTTCTTTTCCACCGAATAATAAAAATATTCTAATATAAAATACGTCCAGGCTCTGAGACAGGCGAAGTCGCCGAAACGTCAGCCATCGTTCAATAACATCAAAAACAACGACAACGACAACGAAGACCTGTACCAACCTCGCATCAGCTTAAGAAGATTAAGAAGATCAGTTTATAAGATCGCATAAATAAATATATCAACTATCTATGCCGAGGTTTATAGCAAGTCGGTCTTTCGAGTTTTCATCCATACACTCTTGTGCCTTACATACAGAGGCGAAGCCCAGCTTCTACAAACGACTCTTGTTATCCAGAGCCCCACAGTTTGACAAAATGAATGAATTCCTGTCTCGTTGACGATGTTTAGCCTCTCAAAATTTTTATTTTGTTGAAGTTGAGAAACCAAACAGTTTTCGACTTTATGTCACCGATAAGTGCGCTATATTATACTATTCTCCTTGGTCGGGCACATCATTATCATCAGATGGAATCCATTCGAGGTTGACGCCCTTCCATCCTCCTGTACCTTTATAGGGTAAATAAATGGGGAACTAAATCGTAAATGAAATACGAAGCATTTTTCATAACGAATAACACATTGGAATGACGTAATATTGTCCATTAAAGCGAATTGCTGCAAACTTCCGGTTAGCTATAGAGCAGATTTTCGGTGCTAGATTTCCAAGTTTCAATCAAATTCAAAGAGCTAGAAATATTCTTGTGAGCCCATTAATTTCAGGAAAAACATCTTTCGTGATTTCAGATGATGCTTCAATATTGTCCCACATACCAGAACGATGTACCTATGCTCGTGACGGTGGTTCTGGCAAGGAATACAATGTGAAATGGTTGGTAAATGCATGAAAGTCATCTACATTTTACAGTATCCCTGTGATTTCCTTTTACTCACATTTGGCTAACCATTTTTAAGCATTGTGAAATATAACTTCAATGATGTTGAGATATTTGCAAAACTTCAGACCGCAGGTGTATGCGGTGGGGAACGAACGCGCGATTGCCCTTTCCGGGGAGTAGCGCGTTTCACCACCACACCATCTTTAAGCAATTGTTTAAAANAAGTTTCAATCAAATTCAAAGAGCTAGAAATATTCTTGTGAGCCCATTAATTTCAGGAAAACATCTTTCGTGATTTCAGATGATGCTTCAATATTGTCCCACATACCAGAACGATGTACCTATGCTCGTGACGGTGGTTCTGGCAAGGAATACAATGTAAAATGGTTGGTAAACGCATGAAAGTCATCTAAATTTTACAGTATCTCTGTGATTTCCTTTTACCCACATTTGGCTAGCCATCTTTAAGCATTGTGAAATATAACTTCAATGATGCTGAGATATTTTTTCAAAACTTCGGACCGCAGATGTATGCGGTGGGGAACGAACGCGCTATTGTCCTTTCCGGGGAGTAGCGCGTTTCACCACCACACCATCTTTAAGCAATTGTTTAAAATTTGGCCGACCTGACTTTGGCATGTTCCCCATACTCAGAGAATTTCCGGCGTCATGTGAAGAGCTGAAAACAACGCTTTCGCGAGATAATGGTTCTCACTCAGCTCAGATCAATTTGTTGTCAATTTTATTTTTTTGACAAGCAATTCTTGAAAAAATGTGAAGGAAGCGGTGAAAATGATCAATTCGATGTATATGATGCTCGCCTACTTTTTTTTTGAGTTCCTTCCTTTTCATAGTTTTCTCTAAGTACTCATTGTTGAGTATCTTCACATGGAAATAATAAGCTAGTAGGGCGCGTGTGGTACAGTGGTCGCAGGCGCTCGGCAACACAGACACTGGGTCGTTCCCAGCGCTCCAGGCCTACCACTACCCCCGTCCCTCTAGAGTCGGCAGACTGGTACCTGACTTGTGTAGAAGGATAGCAGTACTGGCTCGATACATCGCTAAGCCACCGTGAGTTATTGTAAAGGCCAGATATGCATTCAATCACCTCCAGACGATGCTTAATGATGTCGAATGCATGGCGCATCCCTCAGGGATTGATCAACGCCGACAGATTTATCCTTTATTTTATTTAATAAGCTAGCAACATAGCACTGTAATCTAGTAATAATTACAGTAGCACCAATAATACTAATCCAATAACAACCTAGTATTTGGTAATAAAATAATCTTGTAATAATAATAATTAGTAACACTAATGAGTAACTATTTGACTACTAACTAACTAACTTGTAAGTGTCTAAGGAAATTAACTAGCCGTCTAATTGCGTAGTAATTAATAACATAATAATTGGCCCAAAACACTTTGAATGACATTTTCAGGTACTTTAACATCAAAAACTTACGTTGTGAACAATTCGTCAATAGGGGACAAGGCGGGAACGGCAACCAGTTTGAGACGATCAGCGATTGTGAACGCATTTGTTCACGTATGTGGCTCATCACTCTAATAATCTTTCTCATTTCTATTATGTTATGGTAGATTTATAAATATTAAATTTTTCACGGTGATAGGCTTTAACTCCGTATAGAGAAATCGTGCGAGTAATCGGAAGCAAGTTAAAAAGGCTACTTTTTTACTGTTCATTGGGTTTATTACATTCAAATGATTAAATATTGAGCCGAAAGAATACTCTTGAAAGCTTGAGAAACACTCGCTGCAATAAATGCGTCTTTCCGGAAGTTTCATAAGGCACCGATTCGAATTTAGTCCACTGGAATCATTTCATTGTGTCTCTGCGCGTTGTGGTAGTTTTGTCACGTACTGATCGAGCGACCTCCCAACGGTTTACCGCCTTATCGTGACTGAGAGGTAATCCTGGATTTTGGGCTACGATGTATAGCGGAAAAATCTATTTCTCTGCCAGGTCCTACCAACCTGAGAGGAGTCCAGCCTTTCCATCCGGAAGCCCACCTAAGAGTAAACCAATGCCAGGATCCACCAGTCCTGGTATCAAATTAGTCGCATGTTGGCAAATCTGCCTTTGATTCACAGAGGCGGCTAGCTTCTGTTGTGGTGAAGACTTGAGCCAGACTTTGACCAGGCTGATTTCGGGACTCCAGAGAACCACAGTGGTCAAACCAGCAAAACCGCGAAAGAATTGAAGCTGTGTTGGAGCTCGCATAACCAATGAAAACAGGCTTATACAATCATCCAAGGATTGACCGAGACAAATACTGCACAGATCGACAACATCCCGAAAGGGCCAAATTAGTGAAGAGCCACGCTGTGAACTCAGTCAATAATGCTATGGGTATAAGCTACATAACAGTTCTCCTGTTTGAAAAAACAGCGTTTTGTCAAAATTTTCCGTGGCGACTTATGAAGCTTTGAAATTGCAATATTTCAGCTCAACCTGCTCTCATCACTCCATTTGAGGAATTAATGACGGAGAAGAGCCTACCACGTACAGTCGCTGGTCCTCCTAGTATTTCTGGTCTAATTTCTGATGAACAATCAGAGCATGTTAGCTCGCAGACTGTAGTAGACGAAGACACTTTAGACTATAATGACGAGGTCTGTTTACCTTTTACTCGAAAGAATTCGTTTTATTAGAAACCTGAAAATGTTCACATTTCTCTCGCATTTGCTGAGGGCTGCTCACTTTGTAAGTCAAACTATGCGCACCATTTTTTGCAATCTATGAATCCGTGCGCGATATGCATCGAGAAATAGTTCGTAAAAAGGTCTTCTGTAACTTATCAAGTGGAGAATATAGCTCTTTACGACCACCTGTAACACAACGTCTTACCTGGATACTTGGACACTTGAATGGCACGTCTTTATTGGTTATGCGGGCTCTAGCATAATTTCCATTCTTTAAGGATTCGCTGGTTTAGTCGTTGTGGTTCCCCGGAGTCCGGAAGGAAGCATGGCCAAAGTCTGACCCAGGTCGTCACCAGCACAGGTAGTCGCAGCCCTTGTGAATCAGAGGGAGATTTGACACCATACTAGTTTGATACCAGGACGGTAGTGGGTCCTGGCATCGCTTTACTCTTAGCTGGGTTTCCTGATGGAAACGCTGGACTCCTCTGGATGAATCACTCCGCTCTACATCGCAGCCGTCATCCAGGAACACCTCCCAGCCGCATTGAGGCGGTAAACCGTTAGGAGGAACATTCATATCATCTATTTTGTGTAATCTATCAGGTGATTACAAATATCATATAAAACAAATCTGTTCTGAAAAAATAAACGGCTCAAAAATATTAATCAGAAATCAGTGCATACAAGTTCACTCCGTTCACACAAGTGTTCATTGTATCTGTGCCTACGGCTACTTATGTGCAAAGATACTTGGATGGTTCATCTTCGCATGTCTTGTTTGAATCTAAACATTTTCTTTGTTTGACCATCTTGTAGTGATCGTTACGTGGAAACGTTCGGATTCCTAACCGAATTCGGCTGCGGCTTCAGGCTCTGAAAGTGGCTTCCAATTGTAAAATTAAGTACCTTACGACTGCAACGAACACATCGGCTCATTTTTTTGAAAATGTCACATTTTTCGTATAAAACGGATCATTACATCAAGAAGGCACTCATCGGGTACCGTACAAAAGAAGTGCAACCTCGTCCATATGTTACGGATTCTGTCTATTGGTAATGGTGTGCACGATCTGCACTAGTGGTATCGTTCGCGGATTCCCACATTCAGTAGTGACGGTTTTTATGCTTGAAAAGGAATTTTCCATAAAAGAAACGAGGTGCAAAGCGTAGTTTTATAAAGCGATCTCTAATTTCATTTGAATGTACCCTTGCAAAAGTTACTATTCTGCATTCACATTCTTGTGCAGCTCCTATGATTGCATTGTAGTCGCCCGTAGCACATTAGTACAGAATATGAGCGAGTCCCACATCTAGGACCGTGGGCCACAATGAGTCAGTAAGTCATTGTGTTATCAAATTTGTAGTTCCAAGATCCTAATGCTCCTAATAACANATGTAACGGATTCTGTCTATTGGTAATGGTGTGCACGATCTGCACTAGTGGTATCGTTCGCGGATTCCCACATTCAGTAGTGACGGTTTTCATGCTTGAAAAAGGAATTTTCCATAAAAGAAACGAGGTGCAAAGCGTAGTTTTATAAAGTGATCTCTAATTTCATTTGAATGTACCCTTGCAAAAGTTACTATTCTGCATTCATATTCTTGTGCAGCTCCTATGATTGCATTGTAGTCGCCCGTAGCACATTAGTACAGAATATGAGCGAGTCCCATATCTAGGACCGTGGGCCACAATGAGCCAGTAAGTTATTGTGTTATCAAATTTGTAGTTCCAAGATCCTAATGCTCCTAATAACACATTTAAAAGCGAAGATGGTTTTTCGACAACTGCCGTTGAATGTTTGGTAAGAACTTGAGCACCTGAAGACTTGAGATTCTTTTAGAAGAGACTTTGAGGTAACACTCCATTGATACTAGTAACTTTTGCAAGATGTCGTTTTAGTTTTAAGCTTGTTTAAAAAGCCCAGATCTACAAAAAATTGAAAGCTATACTAATAATTTTAAAATATTGGCTTAGGGGCAGGCAGCACAGTGGTAGTGATGCCAATCATTGTGAGGAAGGTGTTCATTCAATCGCGCCCTGGGCTCAGCAAGCCATTAAGCCTGTGGGAACAATCTAGCATGGCCACCCAGGACTTCAGAGAGAATTGAATCGACCAACATCCAACGAAATTTTTGATTTAAAGTGAATCTAGTCGAACCCAAACGCAAAACGTTGTTAGCCATGCGTAGCCTGAAATAAGAACAATGCGTTGGAGAAGCCCATCTCATTCTGCTTGAAAGAAACAAGGAGTGTCTTCTTGGATTATTGAGCTGACATCAGGTTCGTACAGAATAATTATGCAGGTAACTCGTATATAATGCTGAGATATTTGCAAAAA